ACGACTGCGCGCGCGCATTTTCCCGTGCCTTTTTGCGTTTAGTTTTAGCTTTGAAACGAAACAATTGAAAGGAAATATGGGATTATGCAAGCTTCACGTTGATAATGGGGCGATTGTGAACGCTTTTCATGATGTTTTTGTATGGAATAATACATAAATGGCGATAGTGTAACAGGTTTAATTCTATACCTATTAGTAGGTTGTTCTTCTGGTGTCAATTTTATGCTTTCTATTCCGATGACGTTATGTTTTTCGATATCTTTTGTATTTAGACGTCATTTTTATACACACCAGTTTCGGTTGTCTCGATCAGTTTTTTTATTGTATGTTAATAAAATGGTGCCTGCGCTAACGGTTTACGCTTGAGGGACACCAGTGGAGGGTGATAAGATGCGCATGAGGTCAGGCCAGTTAGCCCATCGTGGTAAATTCAACAGGAATTTATCACAATGGTTTCCAGGGAGAACTACGTGGTCAATCTGACATAGTACATTCTAGCAATGGACCTAATGGACCTAGAATGTACCTCTGTTTCTAGTAATGTGGTTATTAATCCACATTAATAACAATCCTTTTCTCCTTCTATTGATCTCTTATGTTATTCGATCGGATCTCGTTTTAATAATTGAGTCGTGTCTGCATAATATTATTTCGTATATTGATACTGCACGAATATTTATGCGATTAATAATATAAAAACTGCGTATATTCCAAGTTTGTCAATTCAGCAAATTGATTTCCATCTTTATTTTCATTGCTATAAAGCATAATTTTCAGTTGCATTGTATGAATATGATTATGGGCTATGTAAATATTTTACGAGGGACTTTGTATCGGTATACGTTCTGCGAATTTAAATGGCTTGTTGGTATTTTTTGTGGTTTAATAGCTTATGTACAAAATGAACGATAAGGCCAATTGTGGTCGCTGTTATATTATTATTTATAGAAATATCTACATCGTAATAAATTACGTTTGTCCTATAGTCACGTTCTCGGTGGTCTAGCGGTTTAGGCAACTACTTTACTTCTGCGTTTGTCACGGGTTCGATCTCTCGCACGATGCACACATTTATATTCATGAGTATGATTGTTTGTATCGATCTGTGTTTTATTTGTATACTAGCTACCAACCCCGGCTTCCACGGGTGTGCATGTATTATACATATAAACATTCCTCTTGAATCACTCTATCTGTAAAAAAAAACGGTATCAAAATCCGTTGCGTTTTAAAGATTTAAGCATACGTAGGAACTGAAAGACAGCAACAGCGACTTTGTTTTATACTATGTAATGATTATGTATGGATTTACAGACAGAAATACTTATTCGTAGTTTAGTACCTATAACACAAGCTCTGGTTATCTTACGAAATTAATGAAACACCAATGGAGCCATATATAAATAAAAGGTTTTTATTTGTATGCCATAATGAGTGCGTCTCTCAGACATGTTTAATTAAAACAATGTCAATCAGACACATTGTATTGCACAGATTGCATTTTGTTTATTTATAACAATGACATAGTATGTGAATCATATCTATACCACACCGTTCAGTATGCGGTTATAATGTGGTACATCATTTACACGTTATTATTCTAAATACCATTGCTGGAAGGAGATTCCACAATGTCGTTGTGCCTGACAAAAAATGCAATGTTTGTTTGTTCGTTCAGTTTTATACGGCAACATTCTGATCATGTATTTGTGATAAATTTCTTGCTCACGCTTGCTCAATGGTAGATAGCGCGCATTCCTTATTTGAAAGAACATTTTTTAGTTTTCTTCTATGATAGCACTGCGTCGGCGCTGGATTTCATTATCATACCATTTAGTAAATGATATTCTATTGTATTTGCTTCTTTTATAGAATTATCGAAGGCTTATCCACGTCTAGTTTATTTACATACTTCGCTTTTGTTTGTAGTTTTGCAACATTTAAATTTCGAACGATTTCGAGAATATCACTTGAATTTTTTCCTACGCTCCTAATTCAACAGAATTTCAAGTAAACCTGCCATTTGTAATCTCTATTGAAGTTGGTTTGCTTCTTTCTATTGTACTACGAAACTCACAATGTAATAATAGAGCAAAAAGTGAACGCAGTTTTTTAGTAAGACGATTGGCAAGTGCACTTATTTCTATTTAGCTTCGAAGTGCAGAGATGATAATCTAAATTTAAACTAGGTCTAAAATCCTACAATTAAAATACAGAAGAAAGCTTAGAGTTTATTGTTTGAAAATAAAATCTAAATCGATTTAATGTATTTCGACTTTTACCGATAGAAATCTACATATTTTCTTTTATACAGAATTGAGATCTGTACAATAATTACACTAGTAATATTAAAAGTATATGATACTTAACTATTATTTTTTGTTGGATTTGTATTATTTTTTAATTCCTCTACCATTAGCATATGTGAGACCACAAATATGGCCGGACTACGACTTGGCGAAAAGTCAACACTAGGCTTCGAAGCTATATGCGAACTCTATTCATTGCCGATGATGATTCCTTATTTCGAGGCAAAACATGGGTAATAATGCTCTGAATTTGATTACTAATAGAGAATGCCATAAAGCTCCCAATAGCGGTGGTCAGGTTGCCGTACTTAATATTTGTGATTTCACACATGATGGTAGAGAAATTAAACAAAATAATATAAATGAATTTAGTAATATAATGGACTTCTATATAACCTAATTCGATAAAATATATACTTATCTACTAGTTAAAGTACCAAGTGTGCGTGACCTGTTTCTCGATATCGACACGTTTTCTTTAGACGTGGTGTAAAGTAATTGACTGTTTGCAAACACCTGTTTGAAAACAGTCTGCACCTGTTCCTTCCAAGCGATTTCTGTAATTATTTTTATTGTAGAATTTATTATTCGCCCTATTTTTATTTATTTTGCTGTTAAGTTCTATATTCTTAATGTTCTGTTTTCTTGGGACATCATATTTAAATATCAGAATAAATGTTCTTATAACAGTATTAAAATATGAGATTTAACTATTTCAACGTCGTCGTAAAGTTTTAGTCGTATGGATTTTTATCTTTGAACTTTGACTCCATACTCCCAAAATATGTACTTCGTTACGTGCATTCTATACTAAGCACAGATCAGTTAAATAAGATGCTAGTAGTGACTAGTTTCTAACGTTTAATAAAAAAATTATGGCTGCCGTCGGTTCCCGACCCACCATATCGCATCATATCACTCGTCCACTCTGTTATTTCTCGCTTACTGTTAATTCTAACTTTTCTTTATGCTGGACTCCTCAGCTTTATTGCGAGATGTTTAACAACCTTATAACCTTTTCTCACGAATTGGGATATCAAATGCAATAAGCTATTTTTAAATTACACTGATAAATACATTAGCGAGTTCAAAGCAAATTATACATCATTATATACTCGTGTAGATAATATGTATATAACGTACTTACTTCAATCAAGGCTCAATCTTAAACTGTAGCAGTTCATTCATCGTAAACGAATCGCCGCATATTATTTAAATATTTATTCAGTTGTAAAGAAATGGGCGTTTTATTACCAATTGTAACAATTTATCAGACGTCTGCCGCCCACGCGGTTGTGTAGCGCAAATTATCTGTGACATTCCAGCTGGGGTCCAAACGTCCGTGGTATCATATCATCATGTCTCTAGTTTAGTTTGTACGTTTGTGTCGATTTCAAGTAATATAATATGCAGTTAATCGAACATGCGGGAAAGGTGAGCTTTATCTAGATGTTTCTAGAATTTAAATTTGTTTTGTTGTCACTAGTGGTGTACATATGTATACAAGTAGTGAGCAATGTTGGTGTCTATAGCATATGTGGATTGGTGCTGGTAAACATTTTTCAGGTTATTCGGGATTATTTTCTTTATTATTGAGCGTTATGGCATGTATTATGCATGTTATGACATGAAATTGTGTTGAGCAACATCCGTCCCGTGAACATGTTGTGCTATACTACTTATGATTGCTAGTTGATATTTTTGATTAGTTATTTTAATGTAATAGTATACCCTGGAAGTTATTGTATTCATCCTTTATAATGTATAATCTCTTGGAATAATTATGTAACCAATTAAACTCTAATGAATCGCTAGTTGGTAATTTGTATTAACACATTTCAACGGTAGATTTTTCTTAGTTGTCATTAATAAAATAATGTATTCATTTAGGTCACATGCATAAATATATTTTGATTTGTACTCATTATATAAACTAGATATTTACCATGATAAGAAAGCGGATGGACCGATTTGTCTGCTTAGTGTAATTGTTTACATCCACCGCCATCTCCAGTCGACCTGTGACCAGTAGAGCTATTCTGTAAGCATCACACACGAATTCGGAAGCGGAATCCGATATTCTGTAAAACTCAATAGCGACTGCAGTGCCACACGCTCGAGAGCGGATGGAGGTAAAACAGGCACTAGTGATTTATCTAGAAATATAAACAAACTCGATAGCTCAGTAGGAACTATTGCAAATGGATACAAGTGCCTTGAGTGAAGCAATGAGAGAAATTAATAAATAAAACGCTTACAGAATACCAATACAGGTCATTTATAACAGCGTCGAAATATCGGGAGCTCTTAAATAATCTGTACAAGAACTGACCTGAAAACCACGTCAACAAATTAATCCCTGATGCTTTTAGATATGAGTCATGACGTGTTCCGATTGAAGAGGAAACGACTGGCCAAAATATAAGCTATCCTTATGTAGAATAAAAGGGATTTACGACGATGGATGACATATCCCAAAAATATGGAATTAAATATTAACAAATCTGATTATAGTTATAAAGCTGCTGGCAGATAAAAATAGAGAGAGAAAATGTATACAATTAATTAAATTATATAATTACTATAAATGTAATGTATACAATTGTAAATAACTGTGGAAATAGTTTTAAACAATATTTTCATGGTAAGGTATTTGGATATGAAAATATAATGATATTTCTATTGTTACAGAGGCGTGTTCCCATGGAAGAGTAGCTCTAAGAGTCAAGAGACAACATCACCCACCGTCTCCTGGCGGCTGTTCAGCAGCAAGTCCTCACAGAACCTCGCGGCGAAGACGTTGACTTCCGAAGTGCAGAAGTCATTGACTCCTGTATCATCAGCAGCCAGTACACCGCACCACCACAAGAGGCAGGGCAGTTCTGCCAGCGAGAAGCAGTTTGAAGATTTAGTTGCTAGTTCTATAGCGCTAATACAACATGACAGGTGAGTCTTAGTTGGGGTTTTAAGTCTATATACATACATAGTTATTTACGGAGTAGGAAGACAGAGAGACGCCTACTCGCATCTTTTTAGTCATCAGTCGTCTCATGTTTAATACCACTTCATATTTTGTTAAAGACTAATTGTATAACAGGGCGCTCTTCGCAGTATATACTCTTTGTACCTTTTATTAGAATCTGTCCAGTAGTTTGCATGAAAAAGTAATGGATATCCATCCATCAATATTCACAAATTTTAGCGTTTATAATATTAGTCGAAAGTAGGATTCAACTAATGTGATCGATTTTGTGCTTATGATATGTACAAAATTGTTACCTTTACAATATAGCGAAAAAAAGTAATACAAAATTGTGAAGGTAACAATGTTGTACATGTATCCAAAATATATGTTATTATTTATATTATATTATGCTCATTTCACCCTTCACGAGCTGGACAATTACTCAGTGAACTGCTTATATATGTATATAACGTAGAAGTTAAATCAGGACATTAAACTAATCACAGTTCGTTGCCTTCCCTTGAATCCTGGTGACAGTTTAAGGTTACATTAACCTCTTTTCACTCAACCCTAAATAAATGCCAATTTCATGATATATTTAAAATAATTTGGTTTATTGCGTGTAATAGATAAACTTAGAAAATACTTAATAGATTTTAAATATTCTTTCACATATAGAAAGCCTATTGGTATAAACAAGTAATTTGGATTGTTTTATTAAAAAACGTATAGATATCCCTATATACGACTACTCGTATTTGAAGGAAAACGAGAGGTGTCAATAGTAACTAATATATGAATTTATAACATTAATTAGCTTCGCCATGAATACAAACATGCGTTGGAATTTTTTTAGATGGACCACTATCCCTTAATTTTAGTAGATTGGTATCAGTGCGTGTGTGTTCTTATATACTTTTATCAGCCGATGTTCTTGTATAGGGTCGCCTGATAAGATATATTATCTTGTAGATATAATCCGGGTCGGCTTTCCAAATTCAACCCTCTTCCCTTAAACAACGCAACCAATCAACGTAAAACAACGCATATACTATTCAAGTAGGTAGTATTCTATCTAAGAAAATGGGATGGACCACCTAAAATCTTACGCGCCCGGATAAACCCAGATTACTTTTGACCGTCAAAGTTTTGGAATTGTTTTGATAGCGACATTGGAATTGAAGAGGCTGAGGGGTGGAAGGGACACGGTGGGTCCCTTCTTTACGATTTTTTGCCAGATATAACGTGACCTTTTCACCCCCAAATGTAGTCCGGACCGTAGCATTTTTAGATGTTAAAATTGTTTTGTTGAAAACGATACATTTTTTAAATGTTAAACAGCTATATATGCGGTAAATAAACTTTCGATATATTGAAAAAAAGGCAAACGTTTATAAATGGCGATGAGCAAAGGCAATGAGCAAAAAGGCAATGTTTAAAAATTGGTAGTTCTAAAGCCCGTTCACATAAACGAAGAAATTCGTCAGTAATATTTAGCCATTACATTTATTACACACACATTAGGATCTATATTAGAATCGAATATTTTTAATAATGAAAGAATTTAGCATTTGACTTTCCTAATTATAAGTACCTAGTAAGTAAAGTACATGCTGTGCCCGCGGTTTCCCTTCGTTACATTTAAAAAAATATATAGCCTATATGTTAATCTGATGCATAAACTATATTAGTGGAAAGTTTCATCAAAATCACTTTAGTATCGTTTTTTGCGTGAAAGAGTAATAAACATCCATACTTACAAACTTTCGGGTTTATAATATTTGTAAGTTTAATATTAAGATATCAAGAAACTCTAGTAAGAGAGAACTGATTTCTTACTAGAACCACTTAGACCTTTACGTGACTTGTCCCTAACTTATAAAGCACAGCTTAAATACAATTGTGTCGAGAGAAAGGCGGTTTGATCTCAGAAACTAGTTCCCGATTTGGACGGAGTCTCTTTCATGCTAGAAAGTTTTTCGACCATAATTCAAGTTAGAATAGGAACCGGGGCTATAACAGCACTCAGGACAGGATATACGGCATTTTTGACCGTATTAGCAGGGTCTTACAACTTATTATCAGTTATCAATAGACTTTAATCGAGGGTGGAGTTTTAATGAATATAGAGTATAGACTGTAATTTTTATGTCAAGCGGATAGTCTACAATTGTGTTGATGATTAAATGGTATGAACCAAAACTAAGTGATTAATGGAGGAACAAAGAGAGGAGGACAGACGGATTTTTGTAAAATAAAATATGATTTGTATTTTAATTTCTTCAATACCAACTGATTTGCGTTTAAAAATCAAATGCAGCGTATATGAAATGTCAAGGCTAAATACGATTTAGTAGATTTGTCTCAGTTTTGTTTTATTATTTTTTAAATTTGGAAAATTTAAAAATAAATTGAAGAAGGTGTCTGAACTAACTAAATCTCAATTATATAAGTGACGATGTAATTCTTTTGCGGACCAATTTTAATGTTTATATTGGTTGCACCATTTGAAATTTATAACCTATTTGTTAATTAGATGTATAAGATATATTACTGTAAAGTTTCATCAAAATCTGTTCAGAAGTTTTTATGTGAAAGAGTAACAAATACCCGTCTATATAATCCATCTATACTAACAAACTTTCGCGTAATTATAATATTAGTTGTTTGTATTATAAAATGTGTAAATAAAATAGTAACAATATGTGTAGTATACACAGAGTGAATACGTACCCCCTTTGTTACTACAGCGTACTATCTCAACTTCGATCAAGTACGTAAATCATTTACTGGAATAGGATGGGAGGCGTGCAGCGACGCGGATCGGAGCTTCGCCGTCGAATGCAGACAAGTGGTCGTTTGAAACTTGTAAGGGTCTGTGTACAATGTAGTGTAGCGAATACTCACTACTTCAAAACGATATTATTTATGGATTATGATATAACTGTCTGACCGCGCAAATTCGTCTGCGTCACACTTACTTGACATTTATCATTATATTTCGCCCAATTTACATCTTTTTAATTTATAGCCTACTAGCTACTCGTCTCGACTTCGCTCGGATGTACATACATGTATTATATATAAATCTTCCTCTAGAATCACTCTATCTATTAAAAAAACCGCTTCAAAATCCGTTGCGTAGTTTTAAAGATTTAAGCATACATAGGGACGACAGCGACAGCGACTTTATTTTATACTATGTAATGATTATGCTAATAATGATGTGTTATTCTGATTTATAAACTATATTACTGTAAAGCTTCATCAAAATCCGTTCAGTCGTTTTTACTTATATTTGTTATAAGTTATTATTTTATATATGATTATATCTTTAATAAGATTATATAACAATAAAGATTATATAACATCCATACTCACAAATTTACGCGTTTATAATATTTTACCTGCGTTTATAATAGTTATATACTGGCGGGGTACCAGTGCAGGATGAAGTAGAGCCAGTTAGCCCATCGTGGTGAATTCACTACAAAGATCGTATAGGAGAAACGCTTCTATACTAACAATCCTCTCTCTCCTCGAAAAAGTTTTTAATGGTGATAATAAAATGGTGCACCTACATGCGTTAACGGTTTACGATGGTAGGACTCCAGTGGAGCAAGATAATAGAAGAATATGAGGTCAGGTAATTCAGCGCTTCGTGGCAAATTCACCAAGAATTTATAGTGATGGTTTACAAGGGTAACCTAACCGGTACATCCTAAAAAATATTACACTTATTATTTTAACTCCGTCACAACGCAGATGGTATAAAACCAAAACCAGCGTCATATCTGAAACCGGAAAGGTCAGGTTTAAAATAGTACGAATTAGAATATCAAAATATCACTAGAACTAGTTTTAGCAAAGAATAATGTTATTGACTTATAACGGGATTTATAACAACTCATATCATTGAATCAAAAGGATAATATAACTTAGCATCGTTAGCTAGTGGTAGACAGAGAGTGCCAAACGACCTTACATACATAGATTTCTTGTAAGTTATTCATACACTTTTGTTTATTTCAACTAAGCCTTTGTAAAAAGTCGTTTGCGTTTCATTTTATTTATTAATACTTAATGACATGTTTTTTTTAATGGATGATAATGGAACAAATCTCCCGCCTGCGCTGTAGGTTTACGCGGGCGGGGCACCAGTGGAGAATGATGAGATGATCATGAGCTCAGGTTAGTTAGCGTATCGTGACAAATTCACCAAAAATTTATCACGATGGTTTCTAGGGTGAACTGCGTGGAAGTCAACCTGACATGGTACATTGCTAGCAATAAGATCATCAGTCCACATTACTCACAATCCCCTTTCCCTTGAATTAACATTGAAATTGTGACATACGTTACTACATTAACTAATTATGATAAGATGAGTATGAGGTTAGGTCAGTTAGCCCATTGTGTTAATTCAGTTTATCAGTTGTTATTCAATAAATACCAGCTGGTATTTATTACGATGGGTTCCAGGGTAAGCGTGTGGAGGTCAACCAGACATGGTACATCGCTAGCAATGGGGTCATTAGTTCACATGACTAACAATCCGCTTTCCCCTATTTATGTATTTACGAGTATATAGTTACTTAGTACCCATACCATAAGATCTGAATTGGGACTAGATGCCGCTATGTAAATTGTCCTGGGTAATTATTATTATTGAGCCCAAGATGGTGCTCATAATATATAATCTCAGGACAATTCACACAGCGCCATCTAGACCCAAGTTAAGCTAGCTAAAGCTTGTGTTATGGGTACTAGATAACTGATACAAATACATAGATATTTTTTTTCGTGAATACATACATATTATACATATAAAACACCCAGACCGATACAAACAGTCATACTCATGAATACAAATGTTTGTGCCGTGTGAGGAATCGAACCCGCGGCCATCGGACGTAAAGTGGTGTGCTAGACCGCTAGACCACCGAGGTCGTCTATATATATATATATATATATATATAAG